CCAGCACGCGAGAAGGCAGCGGGCAGTTCAGCGCAGTTTAATCAGTGACAAGGCCCAGCACAGCCCCTCCTGCCCACTCCCCCCAGACAGCCAGCACCCAGCCAGCCGCCGAACCAAGGCTCCATCCCACCCGGCCTGGCTCGGCCATCACACCGAGGTGCCCTCCTCTGCAGGGCTACATGGAGCCTCCTTCTTATTGTCTTCAGGTTTCATAGCCGGGAACAGCAGCACTTCCTGTGGGAGAAGAAAATACCATCAGCCTCCCTGCCGCTCTGTGCCCTCCCCGCCACGCTACACCACGAGAGCTGGCCCAAGGCTGCCAGCGACAGGTGCTGACCGTCTGCACGGATCAGTTCCAGCTCTCGCTTCCTCCCTGCCTGCTCAGGCCTTGCCATAACAAACAACCTGCAGCTGCAGGCCTCAGACCACTCCTTAAGTAGCTCATCCAGAAAAATGCAGTCCTGGATTGTACCGTCGCATCAAACCCCTCTGGCGTGGCACCCTCGTGCACCCTCATGAGACAAGGAGCTAGTGGCACTGCTGGGAAAAGGCAGTCGTGAAATGCTCTTAAGAGACCGGATTCCCAGCCACGTCACCAAACCTCTCGGCATTCAGGACAGGTGATCAAGGACAAAGGCATTTGTTCAATTCACATTACAAAAAGAGCTTTTAACTGGAGAGTAACAGCTCTCACTCTGTACCCTATTCCTATCAGCCGATCCATTATCTGCAATCCGTTTACCTTAATATTATTGGAGTCTGTAAGAAACATGGTGAGCCGATCTATGCCCATGCCCCAGCCCGCAGTAGGGGGGAGACCGTATTCCAAAGCAGTACAAAAGTTCTCATCAATGCCCATGGCTTCATCATCACCCGCAGCTTTTGCCTAGAAAAGGAACGGACAAGGAGACGAATGTTTAGTACTGACCGCAGTCCCGGAAATGCCAGCACTCCTATTAAATAAACAATATTTCTTATTCCACTAAAGAGAGTCCTATTCTACTCCAAGAAATCCAGATTGCTAGATTCCAGTGTTCTCTGCGCATCTGGAAAATAAAATCAGCCACAAATGAATAGTCAGGAGGGAAGTGTCTCACCTCTCTCACCCCAAAATATCATTGTCTGAAGGATTCTAAATGCCAGACCTTAGACACTCACATGACAGCTTCCAACAGTCTAGTTCTAGCCAAGGTAAGAGTTTCTGAAACTGTGGCTCTAACACACAGTCTGCACGACTGCTTTCGGCATGTTTGTAGAGATGCAGGGTCGGGGAGCGTCCAGAGACAGCATTGACATAAATCAACAAAAGAAAGGATTGCAACAACCATCTTTTACCTGCAATGTATTTTATTCTATAAACTTGCAAACACTTCCTGTCCTAATCAGCACCATTCTAGACAATCACACCACAGTGGCAGCTGCTTATGTGGAAGATGTGCTGGAAGAATTTTGATAAACGAACTGTCTAATGCAATTAGTAATTGTTGGTTTTGGAAACTGCTACCGACCTCTGTTTACCTTTTTATTTACACTCTTTCCTGTGTTTTGCTCCAAGTTCCCCCTCTAACCCTGCTGCATCACGTCTCCCTCCCACTGAAGTTCCTCTCATGCAAAAGGGGTGCTAACCCTTTGGAGGTATGTAGTTATGTGTATAGTTACCCAGTTCATGTACACAACTGACCAATAAAAGCCATAGTATTAAGAGTATGCGGCATCTTCCCTTCCTGAATGATGCTGAATGCCACAGTAAGGTCAGGAACAGCCACTGCATTTGTCCCTAGACAAGCTGTGCGCTTGTGTTTGTTCCAGAACAGAAATATCCAGGAATTGAAGTGCACTACCATTTCAGCATCATTAAATCAATGGCAGAATCTCAGGATAACTGTGCAGACGCAATTTGTAGCATCTGGGATAAACTGTTGGTATTTCTTACCCCAGGGATGTTTAAGATTTATCCCAGGGCAATAGACATGGACATCTGAATGACTCCATTTTGTCCCATGAGAAAATGGTTTGTTCCAGGACTAATGTGACATCTGTTTGTAGTCCAGTATACCTGGGTAGTAATTTAGTTTAATGCTTATGGTCCATATTTGTCTTTGATATTTGTACACTCCTCCTACTTGTCAGGATACCTATGGATTAGAACAGATCCTTGTAGATCTGGCTGAACCATCTACATTAAAAACATGGCATGGCTCTCTACATAATTAGGCTGAACCCCCTTGGTAGTGATTCCCTCACAGAAATCTGGTACTGCAAGTCTGCAAATCAAATCAGTCCAAAAATATAAATAAATTCCATGTTTATGAGTCAATATTAAAACCAAAATAATTTCTCTAGACATGAGATTTCATTTAACCAAGTACCTATTGTAAGAGTGAATTTAGTCAAGTTTCTGGCCTCTCTGACTAGAAAAACAGACAGACCAGAAGTGCTGATACTGCTTATTTCAGTTATATGTTTTGAGATTAAAAAAAATTTTAAAATCCTGCATTATTACTCTGCGCACAGATGTCCAATTAAGTAAGCTTGTTTGAGTTTCTTCAAGGTCGTTTTTTTTTTTCTCTTTATCTGTCTTAAGTATAAAAATGCTTGAAAGCTTAGGGAGAGGGAGGATTCCTTTGAAACAGACAAGTGAACAGACAAGTGAGTGAGTCCCCTTGCTGTATGGAATTCTCCCTGTGATCACAGCATAGCCCTAAAGAAAGAAAAGCTGGCTCTGTCAGTTCTGATTCAACCACAGCGCAAAGTTTAATTTCTTCCACACTATATTCACTGCTAAGAAACTTGAAAGCACAGTGTTTTCATGTCTATATAATTGCATTTGTACAAGCAAGTTGCATATCTCATTTAGAGACACAAAAACAAAGGACAAGGCAATTTTTAACTACTTTTTGAGACTAATAGTCTACAGTTTCCCCTTGTTCTGTTTATCAATATCTTATATTGATAGTAGGAGGAAAGAGTCCAAACTAAAAACTGATAACAATGTTTTGCTAAGATTTGTTTATGCAAAATTCATTTAAAAGAGGAAGGGAGCAAAGTTTAAATATAGGATATCAGTTAGTTAGGTATATGAGCACAGTAGGAAGCCCCTGCTGCTTTCAGAGGATTAACATCCCACATTCAACAATATGAATGAATGGCAGAGCTGTAACATTTTACAAGTCTACATTAGGCTCACTTTACCAAGAGATGCATTTTCAGTAGATTTCCTACCTTGGCTTGATTTTCAAAAAGCTGCCGCTGCCGGAAGGGATCATTGAGCTCAGTGTAAGCATTGCACACTTCCTTCTTCATCACAAAGAGTTCAAAGCGTTCCGTCAACCCCTGCTGAGAACGATGCCTGTGTAAAGGATACTAGTCAGCAGTGAGCCAGAAATTAACAGCAAAACAGGGGCACAGAGTCAGAAGAGAGGTTCACATTGAGATGGACAACAGCCATAAAACTCCACTCCAGTCAATGCAAGTACACATGTTTTCTAGATTTTATGCCCAATGCCAATGATTACCAAACTTTTTGGACCACCAGCCAGCTGCCAAACCTCAACATCTCTTTGGGACCCCCATACTTCCTCATCAAGCTTCTAACAGAAAGGGTACCTGCACTAGGGGAGGGGGTGCAATTCCTGTGCTATTTATGATCTTGGAGCAGCTTTGCCACTGCCTTAAGCAACAAGTTCCATGTCTAAGGTACCATGATCCTAGGTTTGAGAGAGACTTCACAAACTGCCCAGAGTCAAATAATTCCTTTTCAGAGATGATTTCTCTAATGGGGAGAAAAAGGGCTGTATTTCATGTGGTTTCATATTCTTACCATTTGGCTAGAGGGCTCATGATCTGGGGGTGATCACAGATGAAGGTTGGGTTGATACATGTGACTTCCAGAAACTCACCTACAAGCTAAGAAATGAGAGGACAGACATTAAGAGTCAGAACTCCCCACTCCCTTTTTTTTTTAAGCCAGCACACTACCTCAAATCAGTATCTCCATTTCCCTTTTCAATAGCAAAGGAAGTACCATAACACTGAGAAGTCGCACTATGGGAGTACATCAAGGGCTTGGTGAGCAACTGTTCACCAGGGCACCTGAGGGGAAAACTAAGAGTAATGGCCAAAAACTCCTGGAAGACTAATTTTGGCTCAACATTAGGAAAAACTTCTTCACAGTCAGGGTGTCCAGACTGTGGAATAAACTCCCTCCAGAAGTGGTGCAATCACCTACCCTGGAAATCTTCAAGAGGAGACTAGACAGACACCTTGCTGGGGTCACCTGACCCGGCCTTACAATCTACATTTAAAGCCATCTCGTGAAAATGTTTATATTAACAGTAGGAAACTTCCCATGCACAAGCCAGGCACCCTGCTTGGAGAAATATTAGCCTAATGCAGACTATACAAAACACATTACCATTCAGAGTCCACCACCTCAATATCAGAACCGAAACCTAACAGGGTTATCGTGAGGAACTCCTGATATTAGAATTTAATGCCAGTTTAGACACCTGAAGCACAAGCCATCGAACAAAGCTACAGGAAACCCCCCTATCAGACAGTTTCATGTAGAAGAGGTGAGAAAAGAGGCAGAAGAACACAGAGATGGATCCTGCACTTATAGATTTGCCTAACCATGTGGACTGACATGAATCAATTAACACTGTTCTCCCCACACAGGCAGAGTGTAGAGGGATATTTTGGTGCCTCAGAAAGCTGAAGATCATTTCTTCAACCATTTTCTTCATGACTTACACCAGAGCTGTAACTGGTTTAGAACTGGTCAGTGCTGATCCTGACTGGAAGGAGTTTGACTGCACGGTTAAAAGGCAAATGAGACAACAAGCCATCTCCTTCCTTCAGCTCATATCACTATAAAATCTGAACCAAGAATCTTACACAGGCCAGGATCTGCTTCCAATTAAATTAATGGAAAAACTGAACAGTGCAAGATCAATTGCACAGTCCAGAGCTCACCTTTCCCCTGGTGCTCACGTATTCTCCTGAGTGCACAGGCATTACCATGCTGGATCAGACCAGGAGTCCATCCAGCCCAGGGGCCAGCTCTTTCACAGCAAGGTGCCAAAGACCCAACATTTTATTAGTAAAATGCACCCAGGGTACGTTTCCTTCCAAGCCCCCTGGTTTAAAGATGGCTTTTCTGCCCCTTTCTGAACTCATGGGGTTTGTTGGCACTCTGTGTTTAGTCCTCCCCATTGTTATTATGGATGATCCCACTACTAACACAATCATTACAGTGCGCGCTCTGGGGAAATGTATAGGAAATTCCAATTTTTTTAATCCTTCCTACTTTTGGCCCCAATCATATATTGTGGCAATAAGATTGCAAGCTGTGTGTTAAAATACTTCCTTTTATTGATATTACATTTTCTGCCTTTCAGCATATGGCATGTCCCATGTAGTCACCACAGGCACATCCCCACGAGCGCATGCATGCAGAGGCGTGCATTTCCTGCAGGACACAGCAGTGGCACAAGTATGTTACTACTGTTTGTCCTCGGGCATGCCCCTACACATATACTCTGGCGTGTGACAGTGACCCAGCTGGGGCTAGGACCCGCGCTTGTCCCAGCAGCCTTACCTGAGGTTCTAGGGGTCTCCAGGGGCAGCAGAAGTGCAGAGATGGCTGCTCAGAGTGTGGCTCTGGCTGACCAGGCTCCCTTCCTGGTAGCGCACACTACTGCCACATTTTTCAGTGGTGTTTTTTTTTGACACCAGGATCTCCCAGTGGCAAAAAACCCACCATGCTGCAAATTAGCAGTGCAGTGAATGCTTGTACGCATGCCACGTGAAGTCTGGTGCCTCAAATTGCTTTCAGGCACTGCAGACCATACGTGCCCGCTCATAGGGACTTGCCCCTCAAGCCTGTGAGAAACCCGTTGCTAAAAAGAGGCACAGGCACTGCTTCAGAGAAACTCCATACGATGCAGATTGCCACCACTTACCTTATCAAGAAGTCTTGCTGTGGTTCTAGGAGGCGGACACTCAACACCTCTCTCCACACAAATTGCATCAAAGAACTTGCGAGTTTCTGTTTTCACAATACACAGATATTAGACAACTGGTCCACACAGCCAACTCTTCTCCCCATCTGCCCCCACAGGATGATTTGGGCATAGTGGAGAACTAAAGGGCCTGTTGACATTTTCTATCTGCTAATATCACACTGGGAAAAAACAGTTCAAGTTGTGGTTTCAGCATTAGAAGGATATTATTTATTGTTCTCACTCAAACATGAAGTAACAGATCCCTGACTCCAGATACTCTGATAATTGTTATAAACAATCCCACACACAGAGCCAGAGCACGCTACAGCCAGTCTCAGTATATTAAAGACTCTCCTTTCCAGATCCAAAAGCCTACATAACCACACAGTCCCACATACCCAGTCCAATAGAGGGGTTTTCCAAAATGCCCTAAGTGTCAACAGATTTGACAATTCCAGGAGTTAGGAGGAGGTGACAAGTCCTCAAGGAGGACATCAGTCAGACTTGTTGCTCGGTCACAGAGTTCCAAGTTAAGCTCCTCTGCTGGCCGCAGCAGCAGCGCCACACAGTGAAAATGCAGTTCTCAAGTGGGCAGGCCAACCTACTTAGGACTAACAAAACCAAAATAAAACAGTTGAAAAGCAACCAATGCAAAGCAGGGAGCACTAGTGCCACATGATATTTTTCATGCAAGAAAACCACAATGTTCACTTCCTTTAGTTTTCGCACACAGTATTGCCATGCAGCAACATTACTGCCTGGTCAAAGACGAACTCTTCCCCCGTCCCAGCATATATAAAGATGCTAACTCCAGCAATAAGTGGCAGGTACATCCTCAGCAAAGGAGGCAATTTAATTTCACAGTTGCTCCTCCTAAACCATGACGACCAGACTGAATTTGCCCTCACTGATGTCATAACCTGAAAGACCCTTCAACGCAGGCTTTAAGGCAAATAAAATGGAGCTACGATGCTAACTGCCAAAGTACTGAAACACTCTGGACAAGCCTCACTCTCTGATCTTCCCAAGAACACATGTACTCCCTGAAGAGAAAGGCAAATGTGGCATTGTACAGAATTTCACAAGTAGCTATAGGTCAAAGTATAATCTCAAGAGAGCAGAAGTACTGAAAAGCAGCACAAGCTAGCTTCATTCAAATTCACAAGCATGCTATCTTCACCTTACAATAAAGTGTACTGACAGATAAACTATCAGCATTGACTGGAGGGTTAGCAGTCCTTGCCCCATGCTGGCAAAGAGAGTTGATGGCACACAAAGCCTTATTAACTGACCTTCGCTCTCAAAATTATTCATTGCAGGAAGTTTCACTCCTAGGACTTTCTCCAGTTCAGAAATCATGCTGACTCTCCGGAAAGGCGGGGTGAAATCTATCTCGCAGGCCTGGCTATCCAGGCCAGCTGGGTGATAAGTGACTTTGTAACTTCCAGTAATATGCTTCACCATTCCTACAAGAAAAAAGGTGAAATGCAAACTGACGCCATGCTATCTGATGCCATCTCATCTCAATCTTATTGTCCTTTGATTAACGGTGGGTTAGGTCACCTGAAAGGAGATTCTCTGTGATTTCCATCAGGTCATGATAGTCTGCGTAAGCCATGTAAAATTCACAAGTTGTGAACTCAGGATTATGAGTCAAATCGATTCCTTCATTCCGGAACTGACGCCCAATCTCGTACACTCTGTCCATGCCTCCAACCACCAACATCTACACCAAAAGAAATCCAAATAATCACAAAAGGCTTCTGAAATGAAGTCAAGACAGCTCTGGGTAACACAAAGCCTGCATTCCATAGCTACTCAGGGAAATACTGAGGAAACAGCAGCTCTAAACAAACCTAGTGAAGAAGACCAGTCCAATTTCTCAGACAGTCACTATTCCCAAACCAGAAACACCAGCTTCCCACTTACTCCTTTATCCATGTTTCATCCCAACTAGCTTGCATTTATCAACCTAATGAGTTTCTTGTCCTTTAGTCTAATTCTGCCTTCAATAATATCTTCTACTTTTAGGAATAAGAAGCTTAATCAACAAGAGGCTCCTGCCTCACCTTGTGATAGAGTTCAGGAGCAATTCTCATGTACAAGTTCATGTCCAATTCATTATGATAAGTGATGAAAGGTTTAGCCACCGCCCCGCCTGGAACGATGTTCATCATGGGAGTTTCGATCTGGTGAAGAAACAAACACATGCATTGAAAAAGAGCTCCAATGTTTCTACTCTCCTGACTCAAATACATCACACACCACCACTCCTCACGGGACTGCTGTACCGATAAAGCATACCATGCCAACACCTAAGCCAAGGCAACAAATCCCCTGGCTCAAATGTGAATTCTTTTCATTCCGTTTATCCTTTCACAATCCTGCACTGAGACTAAAGTTAGAAGGATTTGAAGATTAGAAGGAACTGTTCTCAGATAACAAGTTGTTTTACATAAACCCACCAGAAGCTTCAGTGATTCACTAGATAAAGTGATTACAAAGACTAACATGGCTGAGTAAATAAAAGACTGCTATTTTGAGAATAGAAGTGGAAACAAATGTGGAAGAACCAGGAAGTAAAACGAGTCATTTTCTGCTAACGTTCCTTTCTGCTGTACCTTACAAAGCAGTCTTTGCTTTATGTAAACTAGCGTGTATGCACTGTCTAAAGAAAAAACCTGTTTGTTCCATTCTCAATGGTGTTATTCACCAAGGATTAATCCTGGAAGAAGGTAACAAGGAGAAGGTATAATGGATAACTTGAACTACTACCACAATGGGAATCTGGTGGAGGAGGCAGCCCCCTCTTCCCCAACACCCCCCCCCCCCCCCCCC